AGGACATTTTACAAGGGCATGTATGGCTAAGGACAAGGGGTAATGGATTTAAGCTGAAAGAGCACAAATTCAGATTAGATATTAGGAAGAAATTCTTTACTTTGTGGGTGGTGAGGCACTGGAATAGGTTGTCCAGAGAAACTGTGGATTCCCTGTCCCTGGAAGTGTTCAAGGCTGGTTTGGATGGGGCTTTGAGGAACCTAGGGGAAGGTATCACTGCCCATGGCAGGAGGGTGAAACTAGATGACCTTTACAGTCCCTTTTAACTTGAACCATTCCAGGAATTTATGATCTGTCCCAAAAGATCTGAATGTCCTTAGCTTTCCTACTTGCACTGAAGGGACCCTGCATGCTTTCCGAAATTAAACTGTACATCTGAGCTTATATAGCTGCCAAAAGGTTTCACCCTTCTTGTAGCTGGTCATTTTTATTTTGGCATTTTCACCAGTCCAAATAATTAGTAAATTAGATGCTCTGTCTCCAGAGATAAAGATGTCACTCTGAAAAACAAAATGATACAATTACTACATGGAGATTAGAGTCCTCTGCAGTGATGTCATTCACTTTGGCTTTGCAATGACATGATTGTGCTTGATCTCAGCTGACAGCTCAGGGCAAACTTCCACTAAGGTCAGGAGCTGTAAAGGCTTCACTGTGTACCTATGGGCAAACATCCAAACGTCATGGCTCATGTATCCAGACTCAACCTAAGTTTCCTCCTCTAAATTTTGACTGAAGCAATGTTTGACTGTACATTTCCTTCAATCAGAGAGCAGATGGCAATACCATGGATTCCTCACCCAATATGGGAGAAGGGTAAGCAGAGACAGCAAATGTTGCTCACCAGCAAGTGAGGAGTACATGCAAAAACATCCTTTCTCTTCCTTGTACCATTTTAAAGAAGTCACTTCTGAAATGTTGTTTTGTAAGACCTTACACAGGTTAAAACTGATACAGACTACAGTGTATATCTAATTCTAACCCCTTCCCCCCTTCCTGTTTTGAAAGCCTGGCTTTTACTTCCAGACAAAGTCCTTTCTTCTTTGCAATGCCCCTGGAGAAACCTGTGTGCTCACAGCGTATTTAGGGGTTGACAACATCAGCTTTTCACATTTTTAAGGGTCAACGTCATTTGAACTAGCTTAATCTCACGGGTCCATGAAGCCGGGTTAGAAATGCTGCCTAAACAAGTATTCCATCCACCTTGTCTTAGTCTTGGCTGAAATCCAGAGACAAGGAAGAAAGCAGATGGAGAGAAAAAGACACAGTTAATTAAAGGCCAGGTTCTGAGCATCTCTATCGCCTTCAGGTCATTACAGACATATCTAGGGAACACACACAATTTCAATGAAAGTTCCTTCTTCCTTTGCTGTCAGCATCTAAGTTTAGCTGGCCTTAGGCCCCTTTGAGCCTCATGAGCTTTTCCTTCACTTCATCAGAGAGCAGTTTTCTAGGCATGGGTTAAAGAGCAGGCTGCTGCTTGCATAAGGGGAGTTACTCTGGAAACATCAATGTGCCAAAACATCTGGAGAAACTGCCATGGGCTCAGGGACCATGTCTCCTGTCAGTCCTCACCATCACAGAGTCCCCATCATCCTAGGACTGGACTCCCTCTCCTCAGAGCCCCTTAGTAAGGTACACATTTATATTGAATCAGACAGCAGTATCTCAGTGGGATGACAAAAAGTCTGCATCTGAAATGAAGCTCAGGAAAGTCAAAACTGAAGTAGTCCATGTGTCCCACTTTGCAGAGAAAGGAAAGGGTGAACCAGCAATACTGAGAGGCCCAGCATACTGAGGGAGAGGCATGGCTGATGGCAGCTTTCCTTACATGCTGTGAGGCAGATGGGCTCCCAGGAGGAGACACAGGGTTATACTGCCATGATGGAACTGGCTGCAGAGCAGAGGCAGTGGAGGCAAGAGCAGGGGTTGGGTGTGGCACCATAAATGCAAGTGGTCAATGTGAAGGAGTTAGAAATGTGGGGAAAGGAGACCTGGGGTCATCCCTGAAGGAGGACAAAAACAGTCTATTTAATTTTTGATATTCATATAGTTTCATTCATTTACTCAGTGCCTCCTCAGGATGTGCTGAAACACTCCCCACACATTCTTGATATAAATACTGTAAAAACTGTAAACAGGGAGGTGTCTCCTAAACCAGGGAAAGCTGGTGCTCCTAACACTGCTTGTGGTTTCAGACTGCCTGCTATGTGATCCTACTCCTTTTCTACAGAAGGAAATAGGTTATTTCCCCTCAGAGTAAACACAACATTTTCCAGCTATTATATGTGAATTCCAGGATTCTCTGCATTCAATAGATTTTATATAAATCTATCTGCAGGAAGCAAAGCTAAAGATTTGTTGCTGAATCAACCTGTCAATACTGAAGTGTCTAAAGAGACACTAAATGTACTATAATTGTTCCTGAAAGTCCTCAAGCACAATAAAAGCCTGTCAGGGAGTGATTCAGCTGCTCACAGACAGTTATGTGGCGCCATCCCATACAACCATGTAGGGTTTGTAAAACAATCAGGTGGGACTAGCAGAGAGGACACATCAGAGGGTTTTCTGATTTTCCACAACAGCAGCTGGAGGCCATGTCAAAGAACTCTAGATGCTTCATGTAGCAGATAACTGAATGTCGTGTCTGCAGTGACTGGAGAGACAGGATATTTGCACCTACTGGCTTCAGTGACCTAGCCCAAACCATGGTAGCTGCTTTAGAGTTGATCTAAATCTCAAGCAACGTTCAGTTTGATTGCAGAGGGAGCCTTTAAGGACAGTGCCTAGCAGAATGCAGCTCACATTTGTGTCTCACAAAGCTCTGAAAGCCATTCCAGCATCTTTATGTAGTACCTCATGGCACAGACACTGTACCTTGTAAAGGTAAAAATCTTGCAACTCCACTGCTGTTTTTTTGCAGATGTCTCTCCAGTACTGAACTTTATTCACTTAGAAAGTGCAAAGTGCAAGTCTAGCGTCAACCATTTCACAATAGCTTTTGGCTCTTCCCTCTCCTCTGAATACCATTTAAAAGCAGTGTCTATAACATCAATATTTAACCACGAGGCTTGTTCTTTCTTCCAAGGAAGGGGATTGCTCTACACATGGACTAAATTACAGTGCCTAGACAGCTGATGATAATGAAAGCATCATTCAAGATGAGGCACTTGATTGCTACTCTAAAGCTTACAAGTGAAAGAAATGTGTAATCTCTTTTTTTCATTGCATTTTAAATGAAGTCACTTGCTTAAATATTAGTCATCTGGATTTATATAGCTCATTTTTAGAACTGTGTTAGCACCTGGCAATCCACCCTGAGAAAGCATCAGGCTATCCCAGTCACAGGCCCATTTGATTTCTTGTTCTTCTTTCTGCAATGTGTGACAGACTTCTTTTTTTCTGACATGATTTACTTCCCACTTGACAGGGGAAAAATCCATGCACTCAGAGCAGCTGCCTGATGGAGAGGAAGCAGTCTGTCAGCAGTGCTCCCTTCCCAGTGCAGCTGGTCAGCAGGGCTGGTCTCTGTGCCAACACTCTGCCACATCTCATCGCCCTCAGGGCAACAGGGTACCCCAGGCACCAGAAAAGAGAGTGACAAAGTACTTTATTTTCTGGCTGTGATACAAAGATCAAGGTAATTTTCCATATTACTGCCTGTGACATTTTCCTGAACACTGAAAGAGATTTTTCCTGCTATAAAAACTATCCCTCTCTGCTTTCCTAGCTGTCTTTGTACTTCCTTTCCTAAGTGTTTCACTGTTGGTTTTTCTCTGCCTTTGCCTTAATTTTCTGCAGTGTAGCACAAGTACAAAGCATGCTCCTGGCAGAAAAGACACTGAAAAATTCTGCCTGTCCTCTGCCTGACTGAAAAGCTATGCAGAAGCCTTCTTCATGTCTTCTGCACATCTGGAGATGGTGCTGATAAAGACAAACAGCCAGATGATGATACCTAATGATTTATTTTTCCTTGGGGGAAGCGCTGAGGATACTGGATACACTTTGCAACACTGCTCCCAAGAGAGTTTATATAAGCAGGGAGAAGAATTAATAGGCAGCCTTATAGGGAGAGATGAATTTATGAAAATGCATAAATGTTAAGGAGATTTACTGGAATACCCAGCACCCGGGTCCCAGTCTGTGCCCCTGAACCCAGTGGGTTCATACAGAACCGGGAAGGTCTCTCCCACTGTGCAGGGACCACGGGGACAGATATCACTCTCCAGAAATTATCTGTATGTCAGGGATCACAGGAACACTGATGTGGAAAGCAGCTGCAGAGCTAGCCAGCAGGAACTGCAGGCACCAGGAGTGCTGGGCATGGGGATGTATGGCTGGAAATAAGGAGGAGCTCAGATGCACTGGGTAAGGCCCAGCAGCAGTGATTTGTATGAACAGAAAGAGATGAGTCTTAGCCTGTATGTGCATTAGTGGGAAAACTGCTCACTTGCCATTGACTCCTGACATGCCTCCTATTTTTGTAACAGTTGTAAGCAATTTAAAACCAGTGAGCCTGACTCACTGCTATGGTAAACTGAAGTGCTCCAGTGTCTTGACAACAGTCAAATGTACTGAATGGTCTAGACAGAGTGTTTGGATTTTTGTCTGCTTATAAATTAATTTGCCTAGAAGGACCCAGACCTTCAAGCTGCACACCTGGCAAAAAAGGGGGTCATGCAACTCAAGAGACAGCACAGCTCTGTAGGAAAGCATTTCCCAGGGCTAGGGGACTAGGGAGCCATGTAAAACCAGGGAATCATATATAACACAATGAAAGGAGGGGATTTCTCTGGCTTTCCTCCAAAAGCCAAGCATTATTCATTGATCAGAAAACAGATCACCATCTCTACTGAGAACATTTCTTCTTCCATTTGCTAAGTGGAAGATGACAAATGAGCTAGCTGTGCCCTTTCCCACATCCTTTCTCCTGTCTGTCCAGGTGTCCCCATTGCTTTGCCCTCCTTCAACACACCACAAATGTACCAGTAGCTACTTACTTGGCACCGCTAGCAACCTCGGGGGCGGCGGAGGTGGAGGAGGTGGTGGTAACAGTGGAGGTGGCCTGCACTGGCAAATTTCCTGGCAGCTCTCTGTAAATTTCTCTGCTACAGGCTTGGAACATGACTTCTGGGGCTCACCCTGAGTGATCTGTGAAAAAATAAGTCATTGCATGAGCAGCAGAACAGTGAAAACTGACAAATGTGTTTTTAGACTTGAGTACCTGAGTGGTACCTCAGACCTGTAGTGAGAACTGAGCTAAAGTTCCTAAGATGTCCCTTCCCTACATGGCCTCCATTTTTAATATTTATTTTTATTTAACACAATATCTTTGAGACCTCTTTCCCTCTGTCAAATTTGGTTGAGATTGGCCAGCTGGTTTCTGAGTTATTATGGGGTAAGGAGAAGGCAGGCAGTGGCAGACAATACGATTGCATAAGCCTTCTTTCCTTAGGAAAGCCATCTAGCAGCATGCATTATTCACAGGGTCATTGCTGCAAGCCAAAGAGAGCTAATAAAAATTACAAGACAGTTAGGGTCAGGATTATGTTCATTTTCCTTATGGCAGAACTGAAAGCCAGAGGACATCCCTCCTCTGCTTTGCCAGCCTCACTTGGAAGTTCAGAGAGCATTTCACAGGGTGTTTCACTTCCTGCCACAAGGAGAGGCTACCCGCATTTTAATCATCTGTGGACCACAGCAATAACATGGTTTAAATGGAAATGCCACATGTATCCTCCTGTGAGATGCAGTGTTGGCTAGTGATAAAAGTGAAGATGGGGCATTGCAGAGCCCAAGTATAAGCACCACTTGGCCATGGGTAATGATTTAGCCAGTACTGGTATACGGTATGTTCAGTAGCTTGATCTAGTTGTGACAAGGACTATTTATTAACAGCGTATTTTTCTTATCATAGTAGTATTTACATAACTAGGGATTCAAGGATTATTCAGTAAAATTTGGTAAAATATAATGCTACAAAATGGAGTCAGTCCCCAGTGAAAAGGAAATTTGCTGAGCATCACAGAAGCTTCTGGGAGGTGTTAACTTCAGAGGTCTCTAAGCCAGCTCTTTTTGAATGACTTATACAGGATACAATTTTGAAGAGACAAAGCGAAGCCTAAAAGATTAATAAGCATGTTATCTAACAAGCACTTTGAATGTAAGTCTTAGGAGACCGCCTGGGACAGACTTGTGTCCTGCTGAAGCTAAGGACAGTTATGCTAGCATATTGTCTTGTATGGTTTGGTCTCAGGCGGGTTATTGTCCTAATAGTTTTGGCCTAACATCATCTGCTTCAATTTGCATTTTTCCATGACATGTTGGTCATTACAAAGAGAATGTCTCATGCCATGCTCTCTGATCCATTTTAGGCAGGCTTCTTCTGCCTCTCTGGCAGGGTCACCCAGGGCTGTCTTCTCCCCACTTCTCTCTCCTGCCCAAGTTTTGCTTCCCCTTCCCCTGCCAGGTCCAGGCACAGACATATCTCCCCTTTCAACCCTGTCCCCCAGCACAGCCAGCGTGCCTCTTCCACTACCCACAGCTGGGCACCAAGGGGGCTGCACTGCCCGCCAGGAAAGCTGTATACAGTCATTTTATATATTTCTGGCCAAAAGGAGAGACGTGGCTAATTAAAACAGCATCACTGCACAAAGGACGTGTTCACATGCGTAGGAGGTTTCTAAATGCAGAAAGACGCATTACTCTGGCCTCAGGGAAATGGAGGTAGGGCTTTGTTGATTAAATATTATAGGGAGGGAGGAAAGAATAGAAAAGGCTACATGTGGCTAAGTTGGAAGGACGGCTCAGCACAGCATAAGGCAGAAACCTCAGTTCTTTAAACAGCTTGTCTAAATCTATTACCAAACATAGGGAAAAACAAATTCAGCACAAGTGCTTTCCAACTTTCCCCTTCACCATCAGGTAACAGTAAGAGGATGGTTAAAGACCATCCCAGACAGCTTCCAGGAACTTATACAAACTCTCTGAACACTCTAATGAATCAAACTGACTTGGCTGCGTAATCCCTCATGACTAGTAATCTGCCTGCTAAGAAGGTTTATTTGTTTTTAAAGTAAGTGATCCCAGGCAGCAGAATATCCTCCATGCTGCTTCAGCTCTTCCAACACCGCTCACATGAGGAGCTGGGGTTACAGGCATGCTCCCAAGAAGAGCCCTGTGAGAGAAGTGTCCTTCCCCTGCAGTGTCGGGGGCATACCTGGGGTGTCTCCTTGTTCAACAGGTGTGACAAGATTTACTGTGCTGACAGAAGGAGGTAGGGCAACACCTCCCCACTGGTGTCAGCAGGGATTAGGAAGCAGCTATTAACTCCTAGCTACAGCTACTGTCCCTGCCTAGGCCCTTGCTTATTCAATCCTGAGAGCCCACTCCAGTCTTGCAGGAGGCAGTGTGATGGGAGAGGATGGGCACAGGGAAGAATAACATTGAGCAGATTTGGAGCCAGCTTCGTTTGCAGATCAGAAGCAGCTTTGCCTATGCAAGTCTAAAGACAGTGCTGGTATGGCAAAGCTACATTGACTTATTGCTCTAACTTAATATCAACCAGAACCAAAGGCTTGTGAGGTCTTTTTTTAGACTTATTGACTGCTTTTAAATCCCTGGAGGCTCTCCTACCTTAGGCTGGTAATAGAGTGTCCTCAGAAAAGAGTGGTTAATTTTATCAATTACTTTGCAGACAAGATTAACCCTATCATGGCCAGTCACTTGCTGTTTCTGCTGCTACCTTAAAAATATTATTTTAGAGGAAAAAAAAAAAAAGGAAAAAACAAAAAGGAAAGTTGCTTTGTTTCTCAATACTTTCACCTGAACCTCTATAAAAATTTCCCATGATCATTTTTAAATAGTCAGGAAAGAACAGACATTTAAAAGCATGGGCTTTATCACCTATTTGTTTCCCTTCTCTTGTCACTGGATGAAATGTGTGGTTGTTAGAAGTAGGAACATAAATATTACCTTGACACGGGTTTGTCTTAAAAGCTTAGTCTTTAAAACAAAGATATTTTAAGTTGGTTGAAATCTGCCATCAAAAGGGAAGACCCAAATCGAGGTTGAGGGCCTCGGGGAGGAAAGAAATAATCAAGGACTGCAGTAAGAGGACAGAATAGTAACAGTAATATAAAGCAGCAGATAACAGTAGCAAGATAGAATCATGAAAAAAATGAAGGCATTTGGCTCCTTTTCAAGGGAAAAAATCCCCCCCGTTGATGTCTATTAGTCTTCTTAAGAAATGAAGGCTATTACTTGTGTCTACTAAAGGTTAGCAGAAAAAATCACTAGAAAATATGCGGTAGGGAACAATCTTTCTCTGGCAGGAGACGATGAAATAATACCCCATTGTTTCTTTCTTACTGTCTGCAGTTCAAGGTAAGCTGCCCTTACAGCATGTGGCAGGAAAAGAAAAGCATTTTGAAAGAACCACGCCTTTCTATGCCCAGGTCCCCTAAACGAATCTAGCCTCAAACTTTACTGCTTATTTGTTCTGGCAGACTCTTCCATGGCCCCAGAATGGCTTTGGAAGACCTCTGCAGGTAAGGTGTAACTGGAAACCCAGCAGGCTGCCAGGCAGTTTGTGGCACGGATGTTGCCTTGGCAAGGGATCATGTTTGGAGAAGGATCCACAGGGCTTGCTCCCTAGCTCTTCCAGCCACTTTTCCAGGCGCTGGAGGTGCCATGAACACCTTGGCCTATCTGGAACTTGGTTGCTTGTTTGCCACAAGGCTTTCTTAACACACTGAGCAGTTGGCCAGTCTAGACAGAAGCTGCCTGGAATTCAAGATGATCCACTTTTTTCCCTCCTCTGAAAATACACAGAGTTAACTTTATGGATTTCTGCATTTGATGTGAATGTTTTGCAAAAAGGACAAATGTTTTAAAATACTTAGGGAAATGAAAATCTGATCCACAAATGTCCACAAAGAGAAAGGGGTAACTGGCAGCTTCCTTTTGCAGTCTCTGTTGAAGTTTGTGCCTTATTTCTCTTTAATCCAAGATTTCTTTTAAAAACAGTGATCCTAGTCCTGCTCTGCATACAGTGGAAGAAAAAATCTGCACGTGGTGAGAACTGTTTAGTATTTCAGTAGAGTCCCATGGGGTTGCAGCAGTCCACAAGCATGTTCTACAGAGTGGGATGGGAAAAGAGGATTAATACAGTCCCTGGAGGGTGGCCTTCTTGGGACTTTTAATCAGGTAAAAGGAGGAAAGCTTTAACAGAAAAGTGCAGCTGACTGAAAAGGCACGGAGACCTCTAAAAGCCTGCTAATGTGGCAAGAGCTTTGTCTCTTGGAAGCATTCTACAGAGATGAGATCTCAACACCACTGCATGAATCCCAGGACGGCTCTGTGCAATTCACATCAGTTAATCCAGATCCATGTTTACAAAACCAGAAAAATGTGTCCCTGCTATTTATCATGACCCTTTCTGCTCTTCTTTCAATTATGTCAGAAGCCTCTGACAGAGTCATCCCTTCCCTCTTGTCACAGAACTGGCTACAATGCTAATAAGAAAATATTGTGGGTTTTGTTTTGTTTTTGTTTTTAATAAAATAAATGCTTCTCCTTTGATTAGCATCTGACTGATTCTCTTAAGTGTCTCAAGGCAGGGCCTGAAGAGGGAATGCAGAGGTGGGAGGGAAGGCTATGGCACATGAAGTCATTGTGGGGACAAATGAGTGAAGAGGGGCTGGGGGATGTGAGAAAACATGACTGCTGCTATAGATGGAGCAGGGGCAGGGGAGCCACGATGCGACATTACAGAATTAGTCAAGGAGAGAGAATGGCTTGTGAGACTGAAGATAAGAGCAAGGATTATGACTCAACATGGGGAAGGGAATCATGGGAGGGGTTACACGATGAAGGAGTTTCAGTCACAGGAAAGATGGAAGGCTGGCATGCCAGTGAGCATTCCATACCTACCCTTCCCATTGGAACCTCCTGATGGGAGCCCTAGATAAAGCCTGATTTTGGGGAAACTGGAAAAAAGCTTGAGTATGAGTAGGCTTATTGTTTGTTCTTCCACAGAACAGCAAGCAATAGCACAAGTACAGTTGATGAATGGGACATTCATCCAAATGTCCCAAATAATTCCAAATTATTGCGAGGAAAGGCTGGTGGGCTCCTTGGCTTCTGTATTTCTCAGAGCCTGTTTCAATTTTTATAATTGTTTTATAATTGTTTTTGAAAGATTGCTTTAGATCACGTGAATAGTTTTCCAGAAAGATGTTTATCCATGGGTTTTTTTCTCAGCTCAGTTGACTGATAGGAGAGAGGTTGCAGGAGGAATCTCTTTTCACCCAACTGTGCTTCCCTGAAAAATTTAGTTATAGTTTAACTTACTTACTCTAGCTATCTAAATACTTGAGGACAGCAGGAAGTAGCGCTGACAGAAATTTTTATGACAGGACATTGGTTTAAAGGTTGTTTTTGTTGTATATTTCTATTAATTTTAATGCATAAGGAGCACAAATCCTCTTTGTCATTCATGGCAAGAGACAAGATGCTAAAACAAACAGCATCTCTCTTTAATCTCTTGGGAGTCACTAAGTTTAGATCAGGGAGTAAAAGATGTGGAGTCTCCACTTTGTTTTTCCAAGAAAGAAACTGTAATTGGTCTGCTCTTGAACGGCACTTGCCTGGTTTATCAATCACTTCTCTGAAGACATATATTATAAATAAACTTTAAAATATCAGAGTGATGCATTTGAGCTGAGCTTTGCTGCCGTTCTGATTCTCCAAACTGGATGGGCACTCTCCCTCACTGTATACCAATTTCTTCCAGTCTCTCTTGCTGGCCACCCACATTACAATCAAGGTCACACAACACCACAGCGTCGGAGTTGGCAAAAGCTGATTCAGCCCTTTACCCAGAAAATCCTCAATTCAATTCGCAATCAATACCGAAAACCCACGGCGAGGCACGACCGCCGGGGCTCCGCTCCGCCGCTGCCTCTTTCCGAGCATCTTGCCACCTACAGCAAAATGCGCTTCCCAACCCTCTGACCGCCGGCGCGCCGAAGAAAGTCAACTCCATCCGGCTGGGACCGAACACTCTCGGACCGAGTTCAGCGCTCCGGGGCCGGCACCGGCGGCCCGTCCCGCACACCCTCCGTCCCGCAGCACCCAGCCAGGGGGGCCTCGCCGGGGACAGCAACAGCTCTCCCGGCTTTGGAGCCGCCTGCGCGACCACCGCCCCGCCACGGCCTCCTCCCGCAGCGCCGGGGGTGCCGGAGGGGCTTTGCCCCCATCCCCGCTTTTCCACCGCCCCGGCCCCGCCGCCCCCCGCGCCCCGCAGCTGCGAGCGGGCTCGGGCGGCCCTACCTGGAGGGACCCCCAGAGCGGGTGGAGGGCACAGTGCAGCAGCAGGGAGGGCCAGCAGTAGCGGAGCAGCCCCAGCAGCTGCCGGAGCAGCATCCCTCCTGGGCGGGCGGGGGCGCGGGCTCCGGGAGACCTGGGGAGGGAGCAGAGCGAGCCGGCTGCAGAGGCGTTGGCTCGCACCCATCCCCGGAGCGCGACTGTCCCAACTTTAATTCTGGAGGGGAGGGAGGGAAGGCGGGAGGGAAGGAGGGGGGGAGGGAGGCAGGGAGATGGGCGGGTGGGGAGGGGATAGAGTGGTCGGGAAAACCCAGAGCCCTGTAAGTCCCGGCTCCTTCGGCAGGGAGACGCGCCTCCACCCCCGCCCTGCCCGCCTCCCTCCCCGCCCGCCCCGCCGGCCTCCCTTTCCCGGGATGCTCCGGCTGTCGCCGCCGGCAGCCTCTCCGTGCCGGGGGGCTTCCCTGCCGGCACCTCACCGCTGAGCTCTGGGCTCCCGCACACACGGGAGGGGAGCGGGCGGCGGCAAAAGTTTGGAGCCAGGCGCGGGAAAAAAGAGGCAGGGCCGGGGCCGGGACCGGAGCCGGAGGGGAGAGGCGGGGAGAGCGGCGCGGCCGCGCAGCCGGGGCATTGCATCTCCCCCCAGCCCGCCGCCGCTGCTGCAGTGATTTTTCAAGCCCATCGAGGCAGTCCCTTCCGCGCACGGCTCCCCTGGTCTCTCGCTCCCCGCCCGGGCTCCTCCCGGCGGCAGCTCCCTCCGCTGAGGGCCGGCGGGGCGGCCCCGGGAGCTGCGGGAGCGCCCGGCCGAGAGCGGGACCGAGCACAGGGGGAACCGCGCTATGAACCGGCACCCCCATCCTGGACGAGCCCCGAACTGGGGCCAGGAGGTTTTGGGGTTGGTGGTGTCGGTGTTCAGCCCCTTTTCTCAGGAGTGATGCAAGAGCTTGTCCTGTGACGGGCGGGACATGGGGCTGGCTCGGCCCGGTGTCTCCGGGGTGTAATGGGGAAGGCGCTTCATGGCATTCGTGGTTCTATGTGGTTCATGGCATTTGTGGTTCTAACAAAACACGCGGAAATGTGTAACAGAGCTTGAGGGGAGGTGGATAGACTACCCCCCAAAATCAAGGCACCACAGTCCGGCTTCCCCACAGGAAGGACGCAGTAGAGAATCAAGGATGAAGATGGTTTTACTTCCAGTGAAGCACTAAAAGCAAAACAGCTGTTTTGTGAATGGTAGCTACTGCTGAAAGTTGGGCTTTGTGGGTATCAGGATGACCATAAAACATTTGTTGTTGGGTCCAGGGATCCAGGGGTCCTGTTTTCAATGTTCCAAATGCAGGAAGCACATGGGTTTGAACAAAATACTAGTTTCAAGGTTTACATTTCATATCAAGAGATGAATGAGTTTGAGGATATTGACTTCAGTTTTTCTTTGTATTTCTTGCACTCACTGAGCCAAGTTTAATCATCAGTTTCATAAAAATCTGCTCAGAGAAGTAGGAATGGAAATACATTAGCCTCTGAACTGATATACAGCTAAAATTCTTTTTTCATACCAGTATTACATTCATTTCATGTCCATTCATTTCAGCCCCAATAGGCACTGTTTTAAATGTCAGGACTATCAGGCCCAGCAGCATTTTACAAATGAGAACAGCAAACTGGAATTTAATGGTGTTACACCTGAGTTGAGGTAGAGTTGTTGAACCTAGGCATCTATTTGTAAATCCCTGTCTTGTGGTTTTCTAAGAGCAGAATTCAGAGAGGCAGAGACATTGTGATCTTGGGTTTAGGCAGTAAACGTACAGCAAAGATATTTTCTGTAATGATGCTGAAAAAGATGGCGTCCCTTTCTGTAAGCCTACTGTGTAATACGCAGGGCTTAATATATTGTGCTCATTCAATTATAGTTTTAGTGAGCTGGAGTCACAAGAGACAGCAAAGCTTTTCAGGCTTTCTGGTGATTTCCTGAAGGTATTTCAGCACTTGGTCACAGTACAGAACATAATAAATTGCACCATCTGTATACATAGTTCTTGGTTCCTGACAGAATGAGAGATAAGGCTTTAGGCATTGTATGCCAAAAAAATACAACACAGATTTATTTTCTTTCAGTATTTACAATGCCTTAATGTCTGAAGAACTGTGGATTTTCCTGCCATTAGCGATTGCCCAAGTGGCTGTCTCAAAGCGCTGTTCCCGTGGTTCAAAGACAACCCAGGGAACTGAGGAGACAGAGCCAAACTCAACCCACAGCCGCACAGAAGCAAACGCAATCAGGGATATTGTTCTGACACAAACAAGAGCAGAGTTTGGCCCAGGTAATCAGCATCTTTTCTGTCTCACACTGGTAATTGACAGTTCCCTTGGGAAAATGGTTGGGCTGCAAATATATAAAATCCAGCCTCTGGACCCAGTCATATGGTCCACACAGAGGCACATTTCCCATCAATCTGAACGGCTGAAGAAAGGGCTGAATGTGTGCCCTGTTCTTGTCCACATGACACCAGAACTTTTCATTAATTACTTTGGCTTCTCTGTAGTTTCTATGGAGAGAAAATAGAGTCCAGGAATTTTTTTCCACTTATAAGGAAGATAAATTATATCCTTGAATTAATGAGGGGCTTGGAATATGTTTTGCTTAATAACACATTAAGTATTTTGTAGCACCAGGACTGGTATGTGGAAGAACCACAATGATTTCTCTGCAGCAGTCACACTACTGAAGTGTGGAGAAGGATAATGGCTAGGGCTACCATCCCAGAATCAGAAACAGCATTTCCTGGGGTGTAGTCCCACTACTACCGACTTCCTTTGCTACCTTGGGCATGTTTTTAAAATCACCTGTACCAGATTTCCTGCCTGTCAAAACAGCACAATGAGATCCAGCTACCTGAAATACTTACTGTGTTTGGTTGGAAAGGCAGTGACAAGATCCTGTCCTCCAAAATGTTTAGCTCATCACACATACGTAGAACAGCACCAGATCCTTTGCTGGAGTGATCAACAAAGGTCTGTGCTCTGGTTCAGTGCTCTGGAGAAGAAAAGTGATTTATAAGTGTTACAGCTCAAAATAATAACTTAGACTGTTTTTAAAGGTCTGTTTTTAAAGCTCAAAATAATAACTTAGACTGTTTTTATTTTTTGTTTTCAGAAAAAGACTGCACAAACAGCACCATTCAAGCAGTTTCTTGAAAAATTTAAGTCAAATATGAATGCTTAATGGAATGATGACCATTACTCTTTTTCCCTTTCATCTTTGGTCTGATTACCAAGGAACAATATTTATCTTGTTTGCTTCATATTTTTATTTTTTAAACAATTGCTGATAATCAGAGAAATCGTGATTAACACTCCAATGCAGCAACTACTCCGGAAGCATTAGTAAGGATTGCAACACTGATTAGCTGTACAAAACAATACTATCGTATTCCTTTAATCTAAGTAACCCATAATGGTTATAATGGACTTTAAGAGGCTATTTATTTTGTTGGTATTGATGGAGTTTACAACATAAATTCAAATGTTCAGAGAGCACAGGAGAGGGTTCTCTTTGATGTTGACTTGTCAAAACTTTATTAAAATCAATAGATATTCCCCAGTCCGACTTTAGGCAAGTTTTGCCTTCAAATTTTTTTGTCTTATGTCTTCAGAGACATCAGAGGTGTTTTACCTAAAGCCAGTAGCAGAGGAAGCAAAGGCAACCTCTTTTCAGCCTTTGTGGTCAGTCAGGCCTAGAAAGAATCTATTTAAGGTTTTTTTACTAATGACATTTCTGGATGCAAGTCAGTGAACTCAAGAAGAGTATCCAACCTGGTGAAATGGTAGAAAACATAAACAGAAAACATTTCAGCACTGACTTTTCAAAGCTTTCTTTAGCCTGGCATGGTTTGTCCCAGATTAATTTTTGGGTTTGAGTCAAGAAAAACAGCAAGCAGGTAAATGTACAGTATTACATTTGCTTGCACTGAAAATATTTTTGTTACTATTTTTAAAAGATATTTTTATTACTCCATATATCTAAAGCAGTGCTTTCAACATGTGGATGGAAAATTTACTGGTTTTGTATTTAAAGTTTCTACCTAGAAATCCACAATTTATTGGGATGTTTTTAGAAGATCAAAAATCAATAAAAGTCACAGCAGCAGAAACAGTGGAGGAAATTGCATTTCTTCAAACACCATAATCTCTTCCCAGGGAGGGGAGAGAATTCTTCTTGATGATCCCAATTATTTAATAAAACTGAGGAGCATACAAGTAACAGATTTGATTTTTGGAAGATTTGATTATTCAATTGTTCAATATTTCCAACCTGTGGGAAAAGATTCCCAACTTTGAGCATATCTAGAATACATTTGTATAACAAATGATTCTTTGATTTTCATGATACTCAAGTTTTGGAAATGACTTTTAAGTTTCACAAGTATCTGAATTTCAATAAATGCTCCTAAAATTTTGTCTCAGATAAATAGAGGCTATTGCACTGCATCTGGAAAACAATTCCAGGATGTCTTCTTTTCCTTGCTATAGGTCAGGAATACTGTAATCAAAATCAATGTTTCCATGTCAGGTTAGGTGAAGACAACATGGAAAGTTGTATTCAATCTTTAGCTTGTGTTGCCTTACCTGGAATTACAGGACACAGTAGATTTTTATTCATGGTCAAAAAAGCTGTGGCTATACATCATACAAGCCTGTTCTTGTATTTTCACTTTTCTGGCTCTGAGATGCTGCTTTCAGTGATAAACAGGCCTCCTGCTTACTCACTTGCAGTAGTTTCTCACATTTTGTTCTCTTCACAAATGGATTTGCTCAGCAGTATTCCTGCTCTTTGTTTATAAATATAAAGGTAAAATGTGTGGGAATAGTTATTAAACTGTCCAGAAAAATTCTAGATGAAAAGAAGAGATTGTATGCCCCAAATATGTCATTTTTTCAGCTTTATCAATTGTTCACACAACACATTACTTCTTACATATATTACATTTTCAATCCCTTGTGACTTTTTAATGAAATCTCTACATGCTGAGTGAACTGCAGGTTGCAGCAATCACTTAAGTGCTATATCACTTTTTCAGTCATTATACATTGCTGCTTAGGTC